AAGTTTGGTCTTATTATTCAGCTTTCAGATAAGGATACCAAGGCTAAACAAGGTTTAAAAACTTGCTTTAAGTTCACACCACTGGTAAGTGAAAGAGGTGTAATATGAATCAAAGTCTGTCTTACTTAAAACTCTGTGTTTAACACACCAAGCTGCTAAGGATTAAAACCAAGAAAGAAAAGAAATAGATTTTTAATATGAACCATATTATGATTGGATTTTATAATACAACTATTTAATAAATTTACAAAGGAAATTGTCTATAGAAATAAAGTGGTTCTTTTTATTTTCTTTTAAAGTCATGTACAAGTATGACAGTGTCTGTGTCAATGCAGATGGGAACTGTTACATAATGATAAACCACTATTTAGCCACGGGCGGTCGAGGAGCAAAATAACCAAGTTACTCTTCATTCTTCCTAAATTTTACCTAGTCACTTTCAAAATTATGGGCGCTGCATTCTAAATGTCTACACACACATAGAGATTCACACACACATATTTAATACACATTCTAGCCCTGAGTTGCATACTTCTATCAGTCCCACTTGATTGAAGAGGAAACTAAAGCACAAATATATTAAATAATTTGCTCAAGGACTAAGGCCTCGAAGGAGCAGTGTCAAGAATGTAGAACCAGGCAGCTAGCGCCAATCTCTGCTCCTAGTAACCATGTTAACCTTCTTCCCAACTGGTTTACCACTCTTCGATTCCTTAACTAATAACATTCAGTTTAGTATTTTTATAGATTGTTGTTTTTCCTGTGATATTACCATTTAACTTACTCAGGAAAACCAACCACACTGAAAAAAGACTGAAAGCAATCATCTTGGTACGTTAATGGTGGGAGAACTGCCTCTCCGCTTGCCCTCTCCAAATCATTCCCCACATTCTAGCTAGAAATAATTTTTTCAAGTACAAATGCAATCAAATCATTCTCTTTTTAAAACCTGTCATTTGTTCTCATTATCCACCGAATTAAATCCAAACTCTTAATTATGATATATTAAGGGACATACTCTGATGTCAGTTTACCTCTCAAGTCTCATTTCTTATCACTTTCTCTTCCAATTTCAGTGCAGCTGTCCAAGGCCTCCGCAACCCTAGTATCTTGTTATTCCCAGTGCAGGGACGTAACTCCCCTTGACTGCTAAATTCCACTTTCTCTGTGGAGCCTTCCCTGGACCACTTCCCCTCTCCTGCACAGCAATTATGTATTCCTATTGCACTTTCCCTGGAAGAGCATCTGCCACACTACGTTTAACTGTTCCCTCACTTGTGTATATCCCCACTGGATTGTAAATTCCTTAAATAAAGGTATATGCCTTATTCACCTCTGAAGACTCAGTCCTTAGCGCATTACAGATACAGTACTAGGTTTAAAAATATCCGTGAATAAATCATTCAATTACTATTGGTACAATCTGTTTGGTAAACTAAAATGATATACACATACTATAAAGACATCAAAAAGTTTTGTCTTAAAGCAGCAGCTAAATTCATTCAGTTAAAGAAATTGTTTATTTTTTCAAATATTCAAAACAGATTTTTCAGATATTCAAAATATAAAATTTTACTGATAAAATATAAAATTATGAAATTTTATAAAATTTTAGTCATATAAACAGAAGTATCGAGGATGACATGAATAGTCTAAGCTTTAATATAGCTCTAGATACCTCTCCTAAGAATTCACTCTCTTCCTCGCGAACTCGAGCTTGATCCCAGAGGGTAATCTCCAGCATTCGCTCTCGAAATTCCCTTCGGTGGACTGGAGAGTAAATGAATGTTTGGTTCCATTTGGGTTCCAATGTTTTCTTTACTGTTTTAGTTCTTCTCTTGTTTTTATCACTATGAAAAAAATAAGAATATATGAACTTACATAAATATTTTAACTATTGCCCTAAAAATAATTCATTTAAATTTTCTCAGCAAAGAAGTCAAGTTTTCCCACAAATGTATCACACATTAAAAATATTATACTCTTTAAAATCACTATTAAAATTTATAAGGCATATAATTATACCACTTTATGACTTAAAGATAGCAATATTTCAATAAATCTGGAAAATTTCCATGATAGACAATTTAAAACATAATCTTTCTCAAAATCTAAGTAAAATCAGATTGAAAAATCTTAACTCTAATTTTTTTAAAAACACATTGCCCTATTGGAAACCTTCAAAATGGCAATTAAACTATTGGTTGCATATACTATTATTTTTAGTATTTGTACATATGCAAATACTATACATAGTATTTGTAACTAACAGGTAGTAACTGCATACACTATTCACTTAAACTACAGAAGTCTTATTATATAATAAGTCTAGTAAGTTGTGATGTTCACAATTTCACATCCATAGTTTAGCTAATGAGCAATTGTAATTACATCTTATCAATTACTTTCTTACATACAAGAAATACATACTAGTCCATTTGACATTTATCAGTTCTTTAAAAACAATAAAATTATTTCTGTGGGAGGAAGTCAATATAATCTGGGCTACAAATGCAAACTGGCCATCCTGATAGACAGAAATTCCAGCTCAGAGGCTTTTATACTGTTTTGACTACATATTTGTATCAAGTGAATGTTTTTGATTACACATCCCTTTATATATACATATATTTATAAATTACATGCAGGTATTACTATATTGTTGTACTAATACACTATGCTCATTGGTAAATATACAAAAATAAAAATTAAAAATAGGTAGAAATAAAAATTCAAATATTTCTTTCCGAACTAATGAATTATCTAATGCATCTCTTAGGTACATCCATTCTTTTTGGAGATCACTACTCTAGTTTATTAGAGAGGACCACTGGCTGAATGGGAATAAAGAAAATCACCTAGGAAGGTAAATGTAAGCTATCAAAAGAGAAGTGAGAGGTGACAGTGAACTCCAAGTGGAACTGTATTAACTGCTACAAATTCCCTCAGCACAGCACAGTCCTAGGAGAGCCGGGAAACAGGAAGCAGGGAGAACTGAGAAGGTATAGTGTCCCTCAACTGGGGAGGCTGTGCCTTGGTATTTTCACTCAAAAATGAAAGAGAGAAATATATTTTGATTGGTAACCAACTCTAATTCAAGATATAAGAAAGTGTTAAAGCATGCCCAGCTACTTTTTAGAGTACCTAGTACATTATATGGAAAATAATGTTTTGAATGGCTTAACTGACATACTGACATTCTAGACTAAATCTCTTCAATGTGGCCTCACTTCCCCCTTCAGAAAATCTTACCAACAAAAAGGCATCAATTGTTTTCCTTGTTTAAGAAAGTACAGTTGGCCCTCTGTACCTGCAGATGCACAACTATGCCAGTTTATATAAGGGACCTGAGCATTGAAGATTTTGGCATCCGCAGACCAATCCTGAGACCAGACACCCTGAGACTAATCCTCTGCAGACACCGACCAATGACTATAGTCTTTCTCCCGGAAAAATTGTCAAGAAAAAATAAATAATTCATACCAAAACCACAAATAGTCCTTTATTCATGTATAAAAACTTGTGTTAACAGAAAAAAAAAAGTTGAGATGACAATGTAATGCTAATATAGCTATTCGAATTAACCAGAGAGTTATTTCTCCATTAAGGGTAAAACCCTGACACAAATCTATTGATAAAATAAGCTTAAATTTGCCTAAATAGTCCTCAAATTCTTGATAACTGACAAAGGAAACTCAGCTGAGAAATAATATGAGAAAAAAGTATTTAAATGTTTCTCATATTCTTTCATGTTGAGAAAAGATAAAAACCCTACATCTGTAATATAAAGGAGTCATTAAAGGGACTTTCTCTTTCATTTTAGCTCTGTCTGCTCAGAAAGTGGGGGAAGGACAGGGGTATGTAAAATAAAATAAAACTAAACAAAAATAGCAAAAAAAAGTTATAATTTAAGAGACTTCTATCATCGTAAAAAGTACGCATTGTTCTTCAAAAGTTTGAATAAATAGAAACAAGTTATATGTGTGCATAAAAGCATAGATGGGAATGCAGCATTTCCTGCAGGTTTCTATGACTGCATTCTAAGGATGCTTACACAAGTAAACTAGGTGTGTTCTGAGAAGGCAAGCGCCTTGGCCTGCATCCAGGATGGTAGGTTAATATGGCTCTGACATCTGTCATCCAATTGAAGTTTAAGCTAGATTTAACATTCAGTTATTGGATATCCTCTTCTTCTCTTGCAGTTCAAAGTGGGACAGGAAGGAAGGGGGCAGGGCACAGCCACTGAAGGAATGACACAGCTATTAACACCAAGATGGCGGAAAAGTCAACTCCCAACAGACCTTGAGGCCCAAGATGGTAAGAGATTTGACTTCCAGTAGACATTAAGCTTCATTATACGCTCATTGTAATATATCAACATGGTAAATGGCACTCCCACAGGCGCCATGACAGTTCTCAGGCTAACCATAAAAGTTCAAAAAGTGGGTGATAGCCCAATTCCTGGGAATCCTCACCCCTTTCCCAAAGCAGTTAGAATAATTCTCCACTCGTTAGCATATGAAGTCCATAAAAACTAACAACCCTCACACTTTGTGGCTGCTCTCCCTTCTAAGTGAGAAGGACTGCAGTCTGTCAATAGAGCGTGTATCTATTTTTACTTTGCGCTCTGTCAATGGAGTGTATATTTACTTTCACTTTAACCTCTCCCCTACCTCTCCACTCCCCACGCCTTGTGGCCTCTCTAGACTTCGGAGATGACCTACACTTTGTCTGTGGAGTATGTAGCTCTCTGAATAAATCTACTTTTACTCAAATGTGGCTTGCTGTTGAATTCTTTACTGTTTGAAGCCAAGAACACTCACCTGGGGTGGGGAGTGTCCCAAGAACTCAATGAGACCTGGGATACGGCCATCCTCTCGCCCCACATTCTCCTGTATCTAGTGTATCCCTCTCCAAAATACAACCTAAGTTGTTAGAAAACAACCTTCTTCAAGAACACTTTATAAGATAAAATTTTATGGCGAACAGTTTCTAATAGCTTTAGATGTGACACTTGGACATAGTGTTTAAGGAATTTGTTTTACAAATTTCATTTCAAAATATGTATCAAAGAAAATGTAAGGCCTTTGTTAATTGCCTATTCCTTTCTTTTGTCCTTTTCTTTGTTGAGATTGTTCTTCAGATGATGCTTTGGCACTCAACTCAACACTGATGACTTTCAACCTGAACTAAGTAAAATATGATCCAAAAATGTATAAATATGATTAAGTTCACATCTGTGCCCAGCTTTTTACAACCTAAGAAAAGTAACCAGACCAGCCCTGGAAGCAAGGGATGCAGAAGAGCTGGGGAAAGGGTAATTGGTGCATTACTTCTTTCTCTTTTCATGATGCGTATTGAATAATCTCCTTTATTTGGTGTGTGCCTAAAATTAAGAATGATTAGATGATTTGGGGATAAGCTATTTCTCCTATCCTGATTCCTCTATTTAACTCAGGATTATCAATATCAGGTGTGTTGATGATCATGGACACAAAGCAAATGACACTTTAGGAAGTTGATTCTTGGTCTAGTGGTAAAGATTCCTTGATGACATGGGTGATGAAATACAAAGCACATCCATTAATTTTACAGAACATAGAGAAATAATATCTTAGTAAGAGAAGACAGAAATTGTAGAGGAACATGATGAATACCCTTTAGTACAATTTCCAGCTTTTTACCTCTGTAGTTTGTGTTAAAAATGCATTTGATTTAAAGGAAAATAATTTTTAATTAGTTTGATAAATGAAAATATACATTATTTAAGATGTAATCTGCACAACCTAAAATAAATATTTAATAAAATAATCTATATTACAAACATTTGATATAGGCTTTAAAACCATCTCAAAAGTATTTACTGTTATTATTTTGATTCTTAAGAATCATTATGCTTATGTTAAACTTCATAAATATCTTACTGGTATGATATTTAAAAATAAATGATATAGAATCAAAATACCACTGCTATTAACATTTCTCATTTATTTTCAAGAATATTTATTTTTGTTTCATATCCCTACCTTCTGTCTGGAAGAAAGTAAATTTTAACATAAGGATTCCTTGGCCTCCCATCTTCCCTGGAAGGGAGATCCTTTGCTCCCAAAATTGTAACTATTAATTGGTGACCAACCTTGTCAAACCATAGTTTTATCTGAAAAGCAAAAATATTCATTTATCAGTTTAAACATTTACTACTTTAGTATAATGTTTACATTCCCAATCTTTGCCCCATTCTCTTACACTAATATTAGCACAAAATATAACGTCACTTAGTAAATTGCAGTTAAGATAAAAGGATATGCTATAATAACTTCAATGAATAGAAAAAAATAATTCAGATATTTTAATTTGACTGATAAATCACTTAGGCTTTTTGTTATCTAATTAGATATTAACATGCACATAATAATTACACTACCATAACTAAGGACTTTATATAGGATTGCTCTGTCTCTGCCTTTATGCAAGAACCCCTATAGTTCATTTTGTAGGTTCCCCTAAATAGTGAGTTCAGAATAAGTGCTCAAATTAATTGAATAGATAACTTCTTTATAAGGCATTCATAGGGAATTTTTAAGCAAATGTTGTGTAACAGCAAAGATTATAAGCAATTGGGAATTATTAGTATCTTTAGTCAATAGACTAGTTTGTATTTAAAACTGTAATAAATTCATCTTTTAAAATTTCTTACACAGACATAGTCTCTTTTTCATTTGTGAAGCAAATGTATTTACCCTTAGAATAATAAGGGTATATTTTATAATTTGAGATGACAAAATTAGAATAATTTGCCTAAGCCATAATTAAGGATTAGAACTTCACATTCTACTGCTAAATTCATTTAACAATTGTCACCTCCCACACACATACCTCATACTCCCACACCTGGCTAGCTGAGTCTAACATGTCAGTATCTGTGATGACTATGACTCTGATCCACATTTGGTTCAAAACTCAGCACATCTCTGCCCACTATCTTAAAACTGAAATTGAATTGGAAATTTGGGAAAAGTTATATTTATGTAATATATATTATACGTATATTTATATTTCCAATGCTTTGATTTTTTTCCTTTAATTTGGATGTACAATGTTTGCAGCAGTTGAAAAAATCTAAATATACATTTCATGTCAGTCTTTTCCTATTGTCTCTAAAGCAGACAGCTCTGGGTCAGACTCTAGGATATATAAATAAATATTTACCATATACAAAAAAATCATACAAATATATATATGATATATTGGTAGTTCAGTTCCAATTGTTCAGTTTCAACATGGCTTTGTTGAGTCCGTCACTTTATATCTTAGAGAATGAGAGGCTGAGTAAGACGTTGGAGTCAGACGACTAAAGGCCCGGAAGAGTATATAGAATTATTTATACACTTTTCTTTTTGGTCAAGTGGAATTAGCCCTCTTATAAAAATAATTACAAGACATATGTAAATTTTAAAAATGATTATGACTACTCTTTAAGTCCTTATGTTTAATGCAGGTATTACCCTGAGGCTGTGTAACAGAGTTTTCTGAATGGAGTTGCTAAGTACAGACTCAAGACAAAGTTTTTTCTAAACTGTGGTTCACAAAACTGCAACAGTATTAATCTGGCTTATTTGCTTAAAGGTTACAAATTCCTGTGGCCCACCTCTCATTAGTGAATCGGAATGAGGCCCAGAGAATTTGCATTTTAACAACTCCTCCAGGCGATTCTCATTGTCATTAAAGCTTAAGAACCACTACTTCAGACTAGGTGACCAACAACCTGAAAAAAAAGCCTGTAACATTTAAATGGCAAAAAAGTTCAAATATTTGCTTGCCAGACAATATTAGAACAAAGATGCAGATAAGGCAGGTGGGGAAAAAGAGACCATTCTGGCAAAAGACATGAGGAGGGGGGAAAAGTCTCATATATGAGATGAAAAGGAGATGTCAGGGAGCATCACGGTTCCTCTAAATTTTGTGACCAAAACCACATCAATTTCTGATATTCTTTGTTTTCTATAGTAATAAAAAAGCTTATGGTTTTTATTTTTCCATGATATTAAAAAATCCCTCTCTGAGGATCACAATATGAATATTAGGCACTTTAAAGAGAAAAAACTTCTGAAAGGCTAAAAAATTTGTTTTCCAATAAACTAGACACTTAAGAAACAAAGAAAAATTACTATTATTATTATTAGACTAAGCTCATAATTATTGGAACAAATCAGTGATTTCTATGAGTTTTTTTAAGGGACTGAGACTAAGCCTTTATTGCTGTCTCCACAGGCAATATTTTTGCTCCTTTAAAAATCATCACAGCCAGACATTTAAGATATATATTTCAAATGCCTGATAGATACTATTATTTTTAGATTTTCTTATGCCATGGGAAACCAAAAATATCACATATTAATTATATTCATTTCTCATTCATTCTCATATAAACAGATATTAGGCTTTTATATTTTTACATTATTACTTTCCAGTTTATAAAATTATACTTTAAAAATATTAAAATAATAGATATATAAAACAGGCACATTTTAATTTTACTGATTTTTTAAATTAAAATTATACTTTTTAATAAACTGTTGAATTGGGCATTTGATCAATAACCCTAAGTTTCATTTTGTACTATAGGACTTGCATTGAAGTTTTTAATAGATATCCAGTTCATACTATGAAAATAGAATTATTTTATTTGCTAGGTTATTTATCACATTCCAAAATATCTTCTCTGTGCTTTTTCAGTGAATGGTTAGAAAATATCTGTTGATTCCCCCAAATATAACAAATGTATTTCCACAATTGTAGATATGACATACTTCTTATTTTACCTCAATTTCATTAATAAAAATATTGATATCATTTTAATTGGTTTAATACAATTATCATTCCAGCTTTATTTACCAGGTAACCATTTTAAATTAACCAAGCAGAACCTGAGCTGAATAAGTAAATATTTTACAGTACATGGTATTAACTAGGAGAGCTTTATTTTTTTAAATTTAAACTAAATTAGTATTATTGAAAACTGACAACAACCAAAAAACAAAACCATGCAGCAAAGCAAGGAAAAGCATAATACTACTTTTTTAAGAAAACTATATTGACATTACTTTACCATATAAGGGTTTCCTAATGAAAAGAGGCAAACAACTTGTACCCAAGAATTACAGTAAAATTAAATGGAATCACAATTACAAAATGTAAACAAAATAAACCCAACACATTTCATCTGGATTGTGATTTTGTTCTTTTAAAGTAATATACTTTTCAAAAGTTGAACCTTATATATAATATGCATAAAATTCATATTTTAGATAAGGTACAAATTTATTTGCCAATCTCCTCAAGGAGTTATTGCTTGGAAAATGCAAGAGAATGTAGATGTTAAGTGACATAATGAGTGATTTAAAGAGACAGCAAACTTAGAGTAATAAAGGAACGTATCAACAGTACAAAGTCAGCTATTTCTGTCAATGTTACAAATGTAAGTGGAATCTACATTAAACGCCAACCTGAAACCTAGGAGTTTTAGTATTCTCATCATATAAAATCACTAACAAAGATTGTCTCTTTAAATTTTTATTGTATTTTAATCTCCATGCAGAATTTTACAAGCTGGCTCATAAAATGATTTGAAAGTCAATAATATGGTTCGGAGCAACATACCAAAAAAAGTTTTCCTACTACGCATTTTCCAAAAACATACAAATAAGGGTTAAAACACAACTTTAGCTTCTATCAGGCAGACAAGGCCTTTACCTGAACCCTAGGAACAAAAGGCGTTGTTCTTCTACTAAGGCTTTGGCTCTGGTAAGCAAAATTAAAGAAAAAAGCAATAAAACAAAACCAAAAGGACAACACGCTGGAACTAAAAGACCAAAAGTAAAAAACACATACAACTATCCCTTAAATACATTTTTCCATGGCAATATATATGTAAATTAAGTAGTTCAATGCAATGAATAAGTTAATTTTCCCAAAATGCTAAAATGAATATAAAAACTATACAAAATCTTATAATTTTTAAATCAGATTTTTAAATGTAAGCAACATAACACGAATTAGGACTGAACGTAAAATAATATATTCGGGTTTATATATTCTGAAAGAATGAGTGTAAACATAATACGAGAGTCAAGATATTCCAGGTTTCACCCTTAAACACACCACATCGAAAAAAATCATAGTACAAGAATTAATTAGATGAAAATACACTATAGAATTATTAGTGATAAGTCATCTGTAGAAGAAATTATGCAACTTTTCCAAAATTATATGTCTAACAAAAGTCTAAAAAACACTAGCCAAGTTGGCTTTAGCATTCCTTAAAAGAATAAACACAGAAAGAGTAATGTATACTGGAACAAACTGGATTAATTAGTTGATTCATACTTTAAGAATCTATACCAGGTTCTAGTATTTAAATACCATTTTCAGATATTTGTTGTGTACCACGTGAAATTATACGATTTAGAGCTAATTATACTTATTGATGACAATAATACCTCATTCTTTTTATTTATACAGTTCTTTATATTTTTCAAGCCTTTACTGACAGTTTGTTGCAAATTTATTGCCTCCAACAATGCTAGGAGGTGGCTGCTGTTATTTCCAACAGGTAGATGAGGAAACAGGCATAAGAAAAGGCTAAATACACTCACCCACACTGAAACAAAAAAAATAAGATAGTGTAATAGAGCCTGGTTCTGATTAAATCACTCCATTTCAAATTCTTAAAGACAAATTTCTTTCCTCTTCTAACTTATTTTGTTTTCATTTTGAAACAAGTCTCCCAAAGATATCACAATCATCAGAATTTTCTGCCTTTATTAAGGAATGCCAACAGTTAAAGCAGGAACAAAATCAGATGCATGTCTCTGGGTCTGGGAATGGATTTCAAGGCATTTAATTTTTGTCCTTTTACCAAGATTCCATCCCATTTGCTCACATTTCTCATGGATGTCTAGCTTGTCTAATTAACAGCTGCAGATAGTTAAAGGCTTCAGACTTTTCCACTGCTCTACAGAAACAGATAATAGGTACTAGGAAGACTGTTGTCCAATTCAACCATCACCAGGCAGACACTGTTTAAGACATAAATCTAAAATCCAAAGGCAAGCAGACCTGAAGAGCAGATTGTCATTCAATCATGAGTCATCTTTTTCTCTCTTCAAAAACAAAGACAGCTTCAAATCTAAGCTGCCTTCTCTTTTGTGGGGAGACATTTCCAAAGGAAGAAAGGAATGTTTAGATATGGAGTGAGCTACTCATATCAGTCTGCAAAATCCTAAATGGATAATTCTCTGGCCAGTGGGTAAGAGATGGGTATGAGATTCACAGAGATTAATGAGGCATGCTGAAGAAAAGGAGTAACAAGGCACTCAATTTGGAAATAGATTTTCTTTTTCTTGCCTTCTCACCTTTTCTACCTGTTTTAGAGCAAAAATATCAATGTAATGAAAGATTTTTGCAAGTAAATATTACTTCATAAACTAAAAGATTTACTTAAAAAAGAATACTTTGAAATAAAGTAATCCTTTAAACATTTTTCCGTTTTCTAAAATGATCTTAAGTGAGCAACTCACAGATATTTGAAATCAACCATCTAAAATCCATGTCAATTTAAACCTAATCTTTTCCTATAAGCTTACATATTAAACTTGGCTATATAAACGTATTTTGTTCTGTTAGCTTTTTAAAAATTGAGGTGAAATTAAAATAACATGCAACTAACCATTTAAAAATATATAATTCAGTGGCATTTAGTGCATCCACAATGCTGTGCTACCACTACCTCCCTCCAGTTTTAAAACTTTTTCATCACACCAGAAGAATACCCTGTACCTATTAAGTAATTGCTCCCTACTTCCCCACTGACTCAATTTCTGGCAACTACTAAGCTGCTTTCTATCTCTATGGGTTATACATATCTCATAAAGAAAAGGTAAAGTATTATGTATCTTATTACAATTTGTAATTAATATTAATTCATTTAAGTGTGAAATATCTGATATTATCTATAAAAATTCAGCCTTATGCAAATGAAGAATTTGAATTTGTACACCACAATTTATTTTGTATTTTTAATATTACTTCCTACTTTTACTGCACTATTAACTTTAGGACATTCCTTTTATGCAATGCTTCTAAAATAACAAGGTTGTAACAATGAGATGTAAAAGATAAAAGCTCAAAGAAAATACTTTCATTTATGGAAGGTCTTAAAAAGGCTATCAAGTTTCTAAGTAAATATAAAGGATACATACCTATTCTTCAGTTATTTATTCCCTTTAAATGGGCATATAAAATGGATATGTACAATATATACAAGCTCATCACTAAAAATGGAGTCAGGAGAATATTAAAACACAGTAACTTAAGGAAAAATTGCAACTATTAATCAGCCACAGACCCTGAAGTAAAATAAAATGACTGTCAATAAGAATTTACATATTCCTATCGAAAAAAAGAACTGTGAGCGATTTCTCGCTTTCAAAAGAGTTAAAGGCTGTATTTTATTTTAATACTCTATCAAAACTTTAGCCAAAGGCTGCAGATTAAATTTTAAAATATTGAGAGAATTACAAATGTAATCCTCTAAAGAAAGAAACTGCTAAATTCTGGAAGAATATAAAGTTTAAAAGGAATCAAAAATAAGGGAGTGTTGACAGTGAAAGGGCTAACATAGAGTTCAGCTGTCATAAACCTGAGCTCATACTGATTTTCTCACCTAATACAAATGGCACTTCCATAGTTATGCCTTAGCATAATAACAAGTAGCAGCACAATTCAAGCATAGAGAAGAAAAAAATTGAATAATTAAAAAAAAATCAACAGACTTGTGCTTGAACGTTTAACTAACAATTTGCATTATACATATATTATATATTTGAGAAAACATCAGTCCATGAACTGACATAAATATATTGAGAAAGTCAGCTCACATAATATACAAATCATCTTTGTTGTCAGGCATTAGCAATGTCATGATTCTGCAAGTGAGTTATGGGCCCAGGTAAGATCCCACTAAAACCAAAACTAGCCAAAAGTAAAAATAGAAGGATATAGGAATTGTAATGTTGCCTTATGACTTCCTAGGAGTTTCCCCAAAGGATGATATGTGTGGATACTTATTTTACATCATTAGAGCAAACCAAAATTGTCTCCAGTTGACAGAAATTGGGTTAAATATAGAGGAAAATACTCTATCCAGAGGGTATCTTGCTTGTGTTTTCCTGCATGCAAAGAATGAACATAAAATTAAGTTTCATGAAGGTAAAATCCACGTCTATCTTGTTCAGTGTTGTATTCTCAGCTACTAATATTACAACTGACCAAGGGATTAGAACTTAACATATATTACTTGAACAGATGATTGTAGTTTAATTTGGTAAAAATATTTTAGTGCAAAATTTTGGCAACAAATATCAAGAATCTTTCATTTTTTTCTTTCATATTGTAATTTTTACATCCTGAAAGTTATGCCAACCAAAGAATTTTGTTGTAACAAAATATGCAAGACTTATAGTCAAGGATTTCCATGGCATCATTATTTATAATACTATAAATTAGAGACAAGCAAGATATCCTATAGTAGCAAATTAAATTAAATGGAGTACTAAATAGCCATTAAAATCGCTGTAGGAGGAATTTTTTAAAGAAAAACATTTAAAGGAAAAAGTACACAATATATTACTAAGTGAAAAAGCAAGTTTCAAAATAATATACACATATTTATCACAGTTTTGTTTAAAAATTTATATGAATGTGAATGATTATATTCTAGTGGCAAGATTACAGGTGATTTCTATTTATTTATTTATCTATGCTTTCTAGACTTACCACAACAATTATGTACTATATTTATAAACATTATATTGCTGGAACATACTTCTTCTAAGTCATAATAAAATGATAAAATGGTACACATTTTAAATTATGACTATATGGATTTTAAACCAACATCATTCATAAATCCAAATGCTATATACTTTTAAGTTTATTTTCCCTCCAAATATTTAACAGTCTTACCTTTCTACCATATTCACTTCGAACAAAGAAATGAATTTGAAATCTGTCTAAATGCCTGCACTGTGCTCCTCACCCTCCCCCCTCCGAGCCCAAATTCTAATACAGCCTTGGGATTTCAAAAGAGGTAACAAAGTGATACTTACTCATTATGGAAATCTAACTTCCGCTCCCTCCTCCACCTACTGAAGCCAACTCCATACAACACACACACACACACACACACACATACACACACTTATGTACTGACATCATCAGCCACCCAGAGCATTATGTATATAGATGGACTAGTAAAAGGAAGCCATAATTTAAAAATTAAAAAGCTAATATTCATTAGCACTTCCTAAAATGATGGAAGGAAATAAATATATATTTGTAACCATAAATGACAACATCTGTGCTGTCAAAATACGTAAGAAAATAAGCAGAAAGATGCTACTTATTGTGCAAAATGGGAAAAAATACCACTGTCCTCAAATGAAAAAGTTCACTCTGCTTATGAAAGAGAAAGGAAAAGAAAATAATAAAGAGAAGAAATTCATTTTAGTAAGACATTTACAATCTCCTAGTAGTGTCTCTCATCTTTCTTACATAGCTTTTCTGTTATTATCACTTTTGTAATCAAAGTATTCCCAGAACAGACATATCTAATGACTTTTTCAATAGCTTTTACTATGTTATTTCTGATTATATGTCCTATATATCCATCTAATTAATAAAAATTCTTTAGAAAAATCAAACTTCTCCTTCTCTACAAAATCAAACTTCTCCTTCTCTACAAAATAAAAGAAATTTTGTAGCTGACTGAACAAAAAGCTAGAAATTATCTTAAAATATCAGTTGAAGAATACTTAAGCTTTTAATCTATAACATTTTTTATCCAAAATTCAGTGTCTTAATTTTGAGAACCTAAATAGTTCTTAATACTCACAAAAATTTAAGTTTAGTAATTCATCAGAATTAGAGTCAGTATTAACCTGTTACCAAAATATAACTGGATACATTTTAATATTTTAATATTTTTAAAGGTCTAAAAGGGAATTACAACTGAAGAAATTAATAAAAAGTGAGGGCCTGAATTGACAAAGCTCTTCTAATATGGGTATAAGATACATAACTAAATTTTTAACTTTAATCATAAAATGTTCAAATTAGAGATCACTTAATATGAAATCTGGCTGGTGTGCTCAATAATCTATTATATATTTCTCCATTTGCTTAGTTTTGTCTGTTGACAAAAGCATCTCAATTGTCATTACATTTCAGAGCAATATTCATACCCCAATGGTTACCGTGAAATTCACCTCAAATTTTCTTAATGTTAAAGAGAACTTATAAATATTCACTTTTATCTTAAATATATCATCTTTATATAGTGCAGCATTTTTCTTTCTCTTAAAAGTCTATGATAAGTTATATTCATTTTAAGGTACTGAGCAGAAATCATGACGTTAAATTTTGGAATAATGTGACTAAGGTGAGAAAAGTTTTAGGAAGCATCACAAACTCTAATTCTCATTAAATTCATTAAATTCCAGAGAAACCAGCTTGAATCAAGAAAACATATGCTAAATAATTAAAACTGAATTTAAATTAATTAAACTTATTAATAGTGAGAAAACTGATGGTTAAAAGCACAATTATATCCTAAACAAAACTTGGTTTACAGAAAACTAACATCATATAGTAAAAACACTACTTGATTTTCCAAAAAAAAGAAATTAATCTAGTGATTACATACTGAAAGTTGTCCAGATAAGAACTGTGGAACATCCCTCAGCATGCCAGGACTCATGGGAGAGGTAACGGAAATAGAAGGACGATCCATTTTTTGAGATTCAAATGAGCTAGAACCTGAAATAGTAATTATACATAAAGAATAGTAACAATGGCTCTTCGTTAGTATTTAATAATCTTCACCAAATAACTTTTAAGTTATTTTTAATCTCCACAAAATGCCATTATATAGACCATTTTCTTAGCTACACTGTTCCAAATATACTTAGAGAGGTTTTTCTTTTTTTTAAAGCATAAGTGCTGCTTAAGGATTCTCTTAAGACCAAGGGTAAACCATTTTCTGTGCCAATTGTAGTAGAGACAGACCTCTACCTCAGAACTTAGCTACTTCATCTGTTATGTGCACTAAACTCATATCTTACAATAATATACTAAGAAAATTTTAAAATAGAAACTTAGGAAGGAAAAAAGGAAAATCTAAGTCAATAAGGCAACTTGAAGACGGCCTAAACTTGTAATACTAAAAATGTAAGTACTAGAATGTTAATTGTGAAAACTTTTTAAGAAGTGATTTTTAACCATATCTGGAAGGATAATAATAAATTAGATGGGCAGAAAGGAATTGAGGGGCTACTAAGAAAAAGATACAGTGTAGCAGAAAAAGGAGAACCTCAGTACCCAGAAGTTACGTATAAATTTTCTTGTATGGAGGGGAAGGAACAAATTGGAAAAAGAATAAAAATGGGGGTAATGAGATACTGGCAGAATTAAATGCCTGGAATTCTGGGCACAAATTTTGGCGCTAATAAAATATCTATGCTAAGTTCTTATGAGTAAGGTAATAAAAACTGCATTTGAGGAAGATGTCTTTATCATTTACTTAAAGTGGAGGTTGAACTGAGTGAGATGGAAAACAGTTAAGAACAAGTGGAATTCAAAATAAAAACAATAGGATAGGCTGGAAAATGGAATGAAAAGAAAGAAGAGGCAACATCACAAAATAAAAAAACGAGGAACTCAAAAACTAATTAGATATGAGAGATAAGGAGAAAGGGGGGAAACATTAAGATTTCAAGTCCTATAACCAGATATGGAATCAAGAAAATCCTCTAAGTGTCTGCTTTGTTCTCTGCACAGGACAGTGCTGATATTCCCAGGGATGCAGAACAATGGAGAAGTCCTGCATTTAAGGGAATGGGTGGAGAAGTTAATTAGGAACACAGTGACCCTGTGACACCTCAGAGACATGAAAGGGGAAATGTAAAGTGGGTAATGGATATATGGATGGGACTGAATGTCAAGTGGGTATTAGTGTTAAAAATTAAATTTTAGTGTCTCCCTAATTGAAGGCCCAAGTGGATAAAATTCTCTTCTAGAGAGAACAGAGTATAAAATGAGGGGGGAAACTGCAAGCCTTGGGATCAGAAGTAATGGTGATACCTTTATGGTAGATAGAAGTGGGAAGAATGCTGACTTTATACTAAGAAACAAGCTAAGTTTTCTATACACTAAGCTTCGAGTAACAGGAAGACACTTAGAACATATTTCTTCAACATCCAGGGATGCAGGGACAATGACAGATCATTTTGATAAATGTAAACTTAGGAGCCGTATGGCAATTAAGACCACATGAAGAGAATTTATTGAGGAACTGAAAATAGAGGGTTAAGAATTGGGCCTTGGAGAAAGGTATTCTTAACATTTAAAGAATAAAGGATTGAATCTAATTTGAGAAAGAACCTCTGTCCTCACAGGAACAACTTTGGAATTGTAGCCTGGGGGTTTTCAAATAGCCATAAGAAGGTAAGGGCTCCACAGTGCTCTCGTGATATCTGAGTGACGTAACACAAATGAATAAAAATTTACCTACTTCATAGATCGCTGTGAAAACTAAGTGTGATTGTGTAGGTACAACATCCTGCACAGTTCCAGGGACTCAAAATGGGAGTGATGATCATGATGATAATATTATTATATATAATAATCATTGTTATTTTATATTAGAGCTTATTATGCTGCAGTTTTATGTGATCATGATATTATTTTGGATAACATGATTTAGCAACTAGCTAAACGTACTAAATCAAATGGGTCGTAAGATCATAATTTAAAGTTTAGATCTATGCCATTCCAAAAGGATTTCACCTCTCTGGTAAAGATTTTAAAGAAATTTATACTCCTACTTGTATTCTAAAAGTAAAAAGCCCCACCTATTTTAATAGTATATTCTCAGTTGCTGTGTGTATAGAGAATCCAACCACTTCTTACCACCTTCATTGAAACACCATGGTCAAAGTTACCATCATCTCACTGCTCAAGATACTGACTCACTGGTCTCTCTAATGTCACTCCATTTAATACATTTGCAACGTAGTAGCCAGATTTTAAAACATAAGCGTCTCCTCAGAAACATCCTATGTAGCGCTTGATTTCCCTCCAGGTAAAAGCCGAGTCCTTACAGCGCTTTATGAAGTCTATGCAGTTTGGCTGCCTGTGACTTCTCTCTCCTCCTTCCTACATTCCTCCCCTTGCTCACTATGGCAGCCACGATACCCTTTTTGCTTTTTCTTAAATGCATCTCAGGCTTTCTTGCCATAGAGCTGTTGCACTTCTGGGCCCTGTCCCTGGAGAACTTTTGCCTCAGATTGCCGCTCTTTCAAATCTTGCTCCAATCCTTCCTTCTCAGCGTAGTCTATCCTGATCAACATATTTCAAACTGCAACCCTCCTCCACTCTTCTTTCAGAACATTCCTTACTCTCAATCAATCAAGAAACTTAGTTCATTGGAAAAAACTCATTTGTTTAACATCTGAAATAGCACTCAAACATATGTAATAAAAAGTATTTATGTACTTAATGTTATTTTAACATATTGTATAATAATGTGTATTGTTCCATTACAACTCTGTTAAATCAGAACTATTTTCCCACCTTTAAGAAATATAAATTAGAATATATGTAATTATGCCCAAGAGTCCCCCCATTTACTGAAGATTAGGTCACAAAATTGTGAATTTTAAAATTAGATGAAATTTGGTGGGGGAGAGGTAAAACTTCTGGGAGTGATGGTATGTTCATTATTTTTTATTGGCAATGATGGTTTCACATGTATGTCAAAACTTCTCTAACTGTGCATTTTAAATATGTTCAGTTACACTAGTATTCCTTACTAGAGCCATCTAAAAATATACAGTAGTTGGGGGAGGGTATAGCTCAGTGGTAGCGCATGCTTAGAATGCACAAGATCCTGGGTTCAGTCCCCAATACCGCCACTAAAAAATAAATAAACCTAATTAGCTCCCTGCCCCTCCCCAAAATAAAAAATTTCTATTCAAATAAATGTATATGCTTTTAAAATATATATATAGTAGTTAAGACTATGATTTTTAAAAATCCTAAAATATTATAGATTTTTGTACTTTTTTCCACAATGAGATGAAATAGTACATTAATTTTCCATCTTTATATGACTATGTACTTGATAAAAATATTATATTCCTTATTTTATATTAATAGATATAATATTTCACTTGACCCCTGATGAATACTTTATTAATAATATTTTTTTCTAAAATAAATGAAACTTACTGGACTCCAGTTGTGCATGTGTGCTGTCAGGTATTCTAGGTATATCTCTGAAATGATATAGAAAGAAAATAAGAAATGATTTCAACAAATAATAGCAACTGCTATTTTGATCATTATCAATCTATGTTATAATAGGGCAATGTAAAATGAAAAAAATTGTGTATTATACCAGCATTAAATAAGAAAAACAAGTCACAGTACTTTATTGCTAATAAAAGTATGCTGAATTAACTCTTAACTACTTAAAAGGAAGTAAAATTCATATGCATTTATGGCAGATTTATAAAAACATATACTTTATTTTCTATGTGCTTCAATACATAATTATCCACTCTAAAAAATGTCTGTATTCAACAAGACAAGTTTTATAGACATATTTTAATTACATTCTACTCTTTACTTTTACCTGCTGTTGTTCAAATTAGAAACACTGAAATTCAAATACAATACCACTAAAACAAAAACTAAAATATTCAGATTGTGACAGAAAAATTGTAAATGTAAAAATTCCACTGAGAAAAACGTAAACATATTTCTTATTGAGACTTAACAAAATTACCTTGTAACTGCATTTACACCAAAAATATTTACATTTTTGTTTGAGATTTGCCAGAAGGGGTATGTATTAATGGTTAAGATCATTCAGAAATTACATCAAAAATATTTCAGATAGTAAACAAAAATATGATTAGAGGATCCTTTAATACCAAGAAATATATTTGGGTAATACACTAGCTGATACAGCAGTTTTACCATATTACAAAATGATGAAAAGATGAAATGGAAAATAGATACAATTTCATGTGACAGATTCATTATTTTTGAAAGGAACATTTCAAAAACTAAGTTACCAACTGAAGTCATTTTCTTTATCATGAAAAGAGGCCAAAATAATATAGTGCAATCATTTCCTAAATGAGTCAAAACTGGGCATCAGTATTCTACAAGAAAGAAGGATTTCCACAGATTCCACCCTGGAATGCTCTTAACCCCGGACATGCATTTAATAATTCATTGTCAGTTTATATATTTTTCTACTGCTTTTTTAGCTATAGGTTTATCTTTTACATTGGCTTAGAATACAAGCTTCTATAAAAGAAACACTGCTGTGATATTTCATGGGTAATTCTCACAATATATGTACAAAGGATTATATTTATTGCCAACTGACAAGTCAAAGAGTAATTGACATTTGCTTATTTTTTGTCTGTTACCTTAAAAGATGTTCTTTTCCTTTAAATAGTTGCCTCCATCTAGAAATAGTATGACTTTAAGACCTCTCTTTCTTATATTAAAATCTCCACTTTGAAAAAAAAAAGTGTAAAATTCATAGAATATAGTTGATTCTGAGTTTTCAATATATTGAACCACAGTTCATGAAACTTCTTTTGAAATTGTGACTATAGTCCCCTCTGCTAATGTCTTTAGCCATCTACCAAGCTATTAAGATAATAAAAATAATAAACACCTAAATATTTCTTCTCCTTTTGTAATTAAGTGTATGATCAGATAAAGAGACATCATGATTTTGGGTGATGTGTTTTTAGTAAAGAGGAAAAAAAGTATTGTCCTCCAAATAACTTATTTTTACAGAGCAATCAAACATTGTTGGATTGCACATTACAAACTGTTTAACAGTAGTCAATTTTATACGTGTATAAAGTGCTCCAACCAACTCACCCAATAGGCCTTGAAACAACAAGTTCCACTTGTGGTTCAGGTTTGGATTCCAGAATGATGTTATATACTTCTTCAAATGTGGCTCCTTGCAATAGTCTTCCATTCCATTCTAATACTTCGTCACCTGTAGTGTGTGTCAGTAATGATAATCTTAGAAAAACTGATCCCATAAAAGGTACTTGAAGCAAAAGCAATCTTAAACTGCAATGAATTTCATAGAATAAAATCACCATTACAGAATAAGAAACATACTAGAACAGCTTCCAGTGGCATAAAATTTGATGACCAGGGTGAGTAGTATATTTCAACCAAAAGGACAAGGGTCCAGAGGAAAAATTACAAAAAAGTTATCACTCTGATTTCTAGGATCTTTTCAATGCTGTCTTGTCCCTGAATAGTTGTTTTTCTTGCGAGGGGAAGCAAGTTGGGAATAACCTACGTCTCTGACTTGATATCACTCCTGCCTCTGTCATTTCTTAATAGAAATTCCAGTTCCAGAAATGATAAAGATCAGTTGCCTCTTTGAAGATTTTATAAACTGTTGCCTCTGTAGTCAATATATATTTTTATTGAGGTATAGTCAGTTTACAATGTTGTCAATTTCAAGTGTACAGCATGTTTCAGTCGTACCTGAACATACATATATTCATTTTAATTACTTATGAAAAACTGACATGAAAATGGAAAATGTTATTATTTCTTAATTCTTGGTGATAAGTACACACGTTTGTTTTGTAATTATTTGCACTTTTTGAATAAAAAATAAATATTTTCAAAAAATGTTTTTAAACTTAAAAAAAAAAAAGAAACACGAAGGCTTATGGGGAAACAAAACAGGTAAATCCTAGATACAGACAAGGAATATCCATCAGCAAAAACATAAGATCAGTAAATACAAAAATCTTTTTATCTAAGGTCACTCAAGAACTAATAGTTACAACTTTCCATTAATGAATAAAGATTAATACTTAAGTTAAATGAACTTTTTTTCTACCGGTGAAGTCACTTCTAAATGAGGATAACTTTTTCATAACTACTCAAGTTTTAACAGTTTAAGTGCAAATACTCAAAGACAGAAACCTACCTGGTCTAAGATGTCCTACAGTATCAGCTAAACTTCCTTTTTTAACTTTGGTAATAAATGCACAGAGCCGACCTGATTCAGTCATCTTTCCTCCTACAACCTGTTTAACAGAAGAAAATGTTATAACCGGCATATTGTTCAAATGAACACAATTGAAGATTCAAGTAAAAAATAACTAGACAATTTGTGGCTTTTAAAACTATAATTTAATATGTTAAAAATAATTTTTAAATAATATAGTGTTATTATTAGGAACTGAGTACATGTCCCAAGAGTAGACTCTTTACGTATTTCAAATGTTTTACAATTTAATCCATTATTTGTTGCAAGTGTTGCATAACTTAGAAACAATGTAACAATTTATAATTTTTGCCTTTATTACAGAATTCTGACTTTTGCCATTTCTAAAAACTTGTTATTACAGCACTACAAAATTATATTAACATTTCAAGTTATAGATGTCAAGTATCATAATATATATTTTATTACTTTTACTATAATTATATCTTCTAAAAATTTTATTAGTTGGTAATCTTTTGGGCACAGTGATAATGTGTATGATGATGAGGATGGATTTTGATTGAGAAAATTACAAAATTTACTTAATCTCATTAGAATTAATGTAAACTTTAGACCATCTGCCTCCCAATTTTTGTTTTTATGTTTGTATTGATACATACCTTTCAGAAAAAGAAAAAACAAATGTTAGCAATAATGCTGTGGAGTCAAATGTGTACCTGTAAGACTGGCCTCTTAAAACTTAATGCTGATTCTCATCAACTGCCTTTCAACCAATATATCAACTTTATACCAAGTTAAGCAAATAATAGTAACTAACATCATTCATGTGTTGTTTTTCCTCTTCTAAGTTGACTAAATAATACAAAATTCAAAAGTCATTGATTTATCTTAATCCATGTATTTATTCACAAATTGCAGTGAATTACACTCAGTTGCAGCTCAGTTAATATTATCTAATTATTCCTATTTTTGGTTCTGAAAATTATATGTATAGATATTATGGGCTGAAATCCCTGTGTTAATATTTTAAAAAGTTTCTTGGCTTGATAAACTTTAATAATAATAATTATACTGGCTATAACTATTGAGTACCAGGCACTGTACTAAATGTTTGTATATTGCTTTATCTAATCTTATTCAATAATAATTCAGTCAGTATTATCTCCATTGTACAGATGAGGAACCTGAGGCTAAGAGTTTAGCTGCCTAATGTCATATAGTTAGTAACTGCTATCACTAGAATTCAAGCCAAAACTTCCCAATCTCTATACTCCACTGGTCTAACATGATACTGGGCAGATCTGGATTTGATTCCTACCTTTACCACCATCTCTGTGACCACGGGCAAATTACGACACCTCTCTAAGCCTATTTCTTATCTATTGTGAGTGTTAACAAAATGATAGATGTAAAGTGCTCAGATGAGTGACAGCCACATGGCAACCACCCAATAAATGTTGTCTAATTTATTTAAAACTGAAGTTTTCAAATATCAATCACATCCTAGTTACTACAGGACTACTTCTGTCCAATGGCTTAACTAAAACATTGACTCTTTTTGCATTTCAGTTTTTAATTCTCTTTACAGTTGCACAAAAAATAAACAGAGCTTTCTTTGGTGTACTTACCAAATAACTGTCTGGTATTTTACAGTAAAATATAAACCAATATTTATATTAAATCTCTTAACATTTGAGTTTCCAGACTTCAAACAGTATTCTCCCTCTCTCTACGTCACACATACACACAAACACACATTTTGCTACACTAATACAAAAATTGTATTTCTATGTAACACATATATTCCCCAAGTTTGCATATTTAATAATTAAATAAACCTATCATTTTAATAGAATATAAACACAGATATAGACTTAAAGGATAAACTACATAAAATAAGTTTGAGCACTGTATTTAGAATTCAAGTATGTAACTCAAGCTTTATTTTCCAAAATTATATATATGTATGTGTGTGTGCGTGTGTAACTGTCGAATAATGGCAACTTCTTAAATAATACTTGGAAAATGAAAAGGTTTTGGATAATGAGTGCAAATATTTAGGAATTATTGAAAATGGAAAAAAAACTCCACTAAATTGGTATAAATAGTTACTAAATCTTTCACTTTTCTGATAAATCTGTAAAGGATTATAAAGCCAAAAACTCATATATTTCATTACATACCTTCAAGCCAAGCATTGCTCCTGAATCTCGAGGTACACTTCCATCTTTTAAACGCTTATTTAATAAAATGCGACCAATTAAACGATCTCCATCTTTAGACGGCTGCCACGTCACAGGGTGCTGACACATTGCATCAACAAACACAAAAATTAATGTCCTGTTATGACAAATGACCCCTTATTGTACAATCTCTCTAAACTTCAGACTTCCAATGTGTTATGATTACACAAACCAGTTTGCATTCAAAACACTGATCAAAAGAGCTTACTAGATTATGATTATAATCTCATGTTAATAATCTCAAGTTTTTAAAAATCCAGTTATTTCAAATTCTGACAGTGCTCTGACATAATATTGAAGTTATATAGTTCTACAAAATCTGAGAAATCTTGAAAATAAATGCAAACTCTAATTTAATTATCTACACACTAAAGATGAAAGGTTCACAGGCAGAAAAGAGACTGCAATTCTATGTAAATGAACTCATTTGAAAAGGAGAATTTAATCTTCAAACACCTTTGGAAGACTTTTGAAGGACTTTACAGTAGTAAAAGTTAAAAGTTTAAACTATATTAAAACATGAAATTTGAACTTATGATGAGGTTTAAAGATTAAATTATAAAAAAAATACACAAGCCCCAGTAACTTTCCAAATGAATGTGCACGGGAGAAATAGGCCTATTTCAAAGGTGAGGATAGATTACATTTCTCACTTTTGGAGGTTCCTTGATTCTTTCAGGTCTCTGATCTGTTTAGTAAATTAATTTTATTAGATAATTCAACAGTATCCATTGTTAAACAACCTTGAAAATATTAGTAGTCTCTCTCGGGGCAGAACCAAGCCTTTTATAAATCATGATACCATTCCATTATGAATTATATGTCAAATAACAAGGTAAATGATTTGTGTAATCACAGTTTCACAGCTATCTAAAAGTAACATGCACATCTCCATGCAAGATTTAGCAGGCAAAAGACAAGTTCCAGTAAATCACATCTATATGGTAAAAAGATTTCAAAAGTCTCACTATACTAAAAGCAAAAATAATAAATACCAAAGCAGATGGCAATGGTTCTAATACTAATTAATACTACATTAAAATGCTATGACAATAAAACAAAAGAGCAAAATGACAGTGAAAGGGAAAAAAGAAAAACAACGTTTTCTGTGCAAACAGACCCAATTATCTCCCTTTTGCCTGGGATTCAAACTATTAATAATTTAATTTTCATCCCAAGGAAAATATATGCACGCGATCAAATAAGCCAATCCAAAAAAATTCTTTGTATTTGTGGTAGATAATAACATTACAAAATTCTTTCACATGACCATAAACAAGACATTCCTTGGTTCCTAATTTTTATTTTCATTTACTTATTTTTTGGTATGCCGTCCAACAACAAAAATAGCAAAGCAAGCAAGAAGTATTTTGGTTTGTTTGTTTTAGTTTTGTTTTTCTTTTCTGCACCTTAAGAAATGCTACATTGACCCCTGAGATGCCCTGTCTTTTTATTATGTTTCGATTGAATGAGTGACAGAGAGCAAACGAAGACCAAATGAGCAGGTTAAAAGGCAGGCTCCACAATCTCAGTACCTTATCACTATGGCTATGCTCCTCGTTAAGGGTTGTGCTACTACAGGTATCTACCCCAGAGTCCTTAATCTGAGGCTCAGACCATTCCAAGTCCTCTTCCAAAGAGTGGCCACCAAAGTACATCATTTTCTTTTGTCTCTCAGACCTGGTGTTAGAGTCCGACAAAACTGCCTGCTCACTAGTTTTTCTTTTTCCCTTTTGACTGTCCCCTACAGGTGTGGGATAAAAAAAAAAATACAAAAAAGAAAACATGCAAAGGTGTAAATAAAAAAGGAAAAGTGAAATGATAACGGAAATCAAATAGTAAGGCTCCACATGTCTCACCAAAGACATTGGGGATGCCTCACTGCTATGCCAAGACGTATGGTCCAACCAGTTGTAATCCATGTCTCCTGTGAGAGTCAGACAGACAAAAGAGTGAAGTAAAGGAGACGGTGAAAGGGAGGACAGACAAAGACATTATAAACATTTTAAACTGTGTGATCCTCTCCGGTTTCAAGAACTTTGTCTGTAGCACTCACTATACACACCAAGAGAAAGCTAAGATTTCGAATGAGTAAAATTTACACAACACAGAATATATAGTTTATGTACTCTAGACAGACCCTACAAAGAAAAGTGCTGCAAGGAGAGAAAAGGCTAATAATAAACAGGACTAGAAATGAAAAAATTATATATTCTGAAAAAAACAAAAGATGATCAGCTATGTGTTACTCATGCAATTTTTTTTTCATGTTGATCTACAGACGTGAGTTTGTTTTCCAAAGATTAAGGACCATTTTAAAAATTAAACAGTGCTTTGCTAATAACCACTACAATGAAAAGTGAAATAATCAAATGTTGTTTCTGGAATGTTGTATGATATTCTTTATAATGCTGAAACCTAAAAAATGTAAGTGATTTAAAAAAAAGAATTGGTTACATAAAAGATTAACTTTGTATGAAAGTGACAAAACAGGTTCAATTTCTCCTAGTAAAAATAAAGGGAATATCTTTTCTTTTATTTACTTAAATATCATGAATTACTTAATATTACTTTCAAATGATTTTTCAAGTTTTTTCAGAAATTACGTTCTCATAAAAAAGTAAATTTTCTTTTAAAATAATTGTAAGACAATTTATGTAATTGGCAACTAAGAATGAATCTCCATCTCCCAAATTTCTGCGCTCCTTATCTGCCTTACATTTGAAAAAAGAATTTTTTGCTATGTATTTTTATTCATTTATTTAATTTTTCTGCATATATTTTTAAATTGACATATATGTACTGTTCATTGTTTCTAAGAACAGTTTAGAGCTTTAGCTTTTTAAACTTACATAGTTATCAAAGGAATAAAGCCAACCACAAAATAAGAATCAACAGAATGCAGTAAATAATCCAATCATAAAGGACAACCAAATGTGCTTACACATATTCATGAAATCAGTCATCCAACCTATAAATAATAAGTAGTTCATTTGTGTCCTTTATGAAAAAGAATTTTTTTAGTCTACAAGGGGACATTTATCTTTTTCAGTTCAACTTGTACTTTCATTTATTTAAAAATATTTACTAAACACTTTCCATATGCTAGGCATTGTGTAAGTCTAGTGGAAGGGGTCAAACAAGAAGACATCAACAGAGTGGAGATAAACACAACAAATAAATCATCAGTGTCATACAGGAGAGTATGAAGCACTGAAAGAGTGAAATAACATCTAATTAGATTTGGGGGTCAGCAAACACCTCTAAAGAAGTGATATTGAAGATAAGAACTGAAACATGTGAACTAGAGGACAGATAAAGATACAGGCAGATGGAAAGTGGAGAAAAGAACATTGCTGGAAGAAGTAACAAGATGGTAAAGGACTGAAGGAACACCAGTGCGTCTGAACCAAAAAGAATGAGGGAGAATATAGTGCTAAATGAGGCCGCTGAGGCAACGCGGACCAGCTCAAGGAGGCCTTTTTTATGCCATTAAAGATCATGAATTTCATTCATTTAAGAATTTTAAGCAAGATGGTGACATGATCTGATTTACATTTTTAAAAGATGAATGAAAAGTACTAAATAGAGATAGGGTTGGAAGGCACCAGAGGTAAAAAGACAATTATAATCATTCATGGGATAGTTGATTAGGGCTTGAACGCAGGTGATGGCAATAGACATGTTAAGAAAAAGGAACTGAGCGATGCTTTAGAGGTAGAAATAAGAGTGTTAAGAAAGACTGAAGAGTCAAAAATAACTCCCAGGTTCTGGGATTAACAACTGAATAGAAAGAAAGACCATTCATAAGAGGAAGAAGCACTTTTAATTAGGGAAGGGGGAGAAAAGAGTTATTTATTTCATGGAATCTAAGATATCACTGACTGTAAGATTCATAGATATTAAAACAATTAAAATATGCATCTTAGAACTTATTAAACATGGTGATTAATTTTGGAAATATTATTCCAAATACCTGTAAGTTATTCAAGTGGTTATAAAAGAAATCAGTTGGTTAAATTATAATAAAACTTAAAAGGAATGTCTGAACTGGAGACATAAACTGGGAATTATTAGCGTACGGACAGGAGTAAGTGGATCATTTAGGAACAGGGTAAAGTAAGATATGAGGTGGCCCCAGACTGAATTCTAACAGAGTTTGATTTGAGATCAAAAAAAGAGAGACTTGAGAAACAGCATGAATAGACAGAAAAGAAGGACAGAGGAAGATGGAGGACTCCAGACCAAATAGAGAGTTTCCTAAACCAGAGGAAAAATCAACTACAGAATGATTTCTATACAACAGGTAAGACAAGGAACTGAAAAGACTGCATTTAATTTGGCAACATGAAAATCAGGACGGATGTTAGAAAAAGCACTCTAGATAGAATCATGAAATTAAAATCGGATGGAAGTCACTGAAGAGTCAAAGGGAGATAAGGAAGAAGAAAAATTGTAGATGAATGGTCCACAAATCCCTAAAGTAGCATAATTACCATCACCTGGGAACTTGTTAGAAATGCAAATTCTTAAGTACCACTTAGACTTAATCAGAAATTCTGCAGGTGAGGCTTAGCACTCTGGGTTTTAACAAGCCCACCAGGTGATGATGATCTCACTGTTTGAGAACCACTGGAGTCAATTCTTTTGAGAAGTTTGTGAAGGATGATGAAACTGTGCTAACACATGAAAAATTCAATGTGTAGGTGGAAAAAACACATTCTTCAACTGTGAACTAGAAAAGCGTTTCTCAATCCTTTTTCACGGCACAAATAGACAATAAAGATTTTGCGGCTACCCAAAAATCTCAGCATAACTGTATCTACAAATATCTATACTGCTCCACAACAAAGCATTGATAAATCTCTGAACTGGATTAAATACAGAGAATATAAATGAAAATTCTTGGTTGGTTTATGTGAAGATGTGAGAATTCAGCTTCCAATATCTCCTCTTCTCTTATGCCTACAAACTATCAAAAATGCAGAAATGTAGTTTTTCCCTCTGTAAACAGATTAGCTATTTAATCATTTGAAGCTAAAGTGAAAATATCTGACAAAAAAAAAGTGTTACATATGTTTGGTCCTCAGTAAACATTTCTTAAATGAGTGAATATTAGTGTTACTATAAGGATTAAATAATCAATTTAAAACATACAGAAAATAGTCCTAAGCTACTAGGACTATTTAGATAATACTTATCACTTAATATTCTTATTTTGTAGCTTCAAAGGGCAGGGATAAGATAATAAAATATCTTTCCTCTAGTAGCAGGACAAAAATGTACTACTGAACTTTCCAGTTCTAGAACAAGAAATAGAAGACAAAAAGAACCAAACGGAAATTTTAGAACTTTCTGAAAAAAAACCCTGAAATTTAAAAAGCAAATGAATGCATTCAACAGCAGAATGGAGAGGACAGAAGGACAACAATGAACTTGAAAAGGGAACAACAGAAATTGCCCAATCTGAGAAACAGAGAGAAAACAGACTAAAAAATAAAATAGAGCCTCAAGGACCTGAAGGATAATAATAAAACATCCGTATCATTGTAGTTCCAGGAGAGGAGAAAGGTAGGGCTGAAAAAGTGTTTGAAGAAATAATGACTGAAGAATTTCCCAAATATGCAAAACATGTAAGCCCACTGATTCAAGAAACTATATAAGCCCCCAAACAGGAAATATGCAGAGCAATCCGTGATGAGACACATCACAATCAAACTAAAAACTAGAGACAAACTGTCTTAAAAGCAGCAAGAAAGAAAAAACACCTTATTTGAAGGGGAAAAACAATTCCAATGACAGTGGTAAGATTTCTCATCAAAAACCTTGGAGGCCAGAAAGAAGTGGCACGATATTTTTCAATTGCTAAAATGGGAGAAATGTCAACCTTGAACTCTAAATATGGTGAAACAATCTTTCAGGAATGAATGAGAAATAAAGACATTCTCAGACAAAAGAAAACTAGAATTTGTCACCAGCAAACTTACCCTAAAAGAATTGCTAAAGGAAGTTCTGGAAACAAAAAGGAAATAAAAAAGAAGGAACCTGGAAACACAGAGAAGGAATAAAGAAGATGGTAAGTAAAAATATGGGTAAATACAATACACCTTCCTTCTCCTCCTTAGTTTTCTAAATTATGTTGTGTTTGAAGCAAAATGTATACATTGTCTGATTTGGCTTTCAACATAGATAGAAGAAATATTTAAGATAATTACATTATAAACAGGGAAAGGTAAAAGAACTTAAAGTATATAAACTTTCTACACTTCACTCTAACTAATAAAACTAACTAGTGTCAATCTAACTAGTAAAATAACTAGCATCAATACTAGTAGGATGTGATAAGTTGTACATATGTTATTCAGTACCTAGAGCAACCACTAAAAAAACTCTGCAAAGGAATATACTCAAAAATACTACAGATGAATCAAAATGCAATTCTTAAAAAATGTTCAAATAATCTACAGAAAGGCAAGAAAAAGAAAACAGAAAAATAAAAACCAGAAGGGACAAACAGAAAACAAAAAAACAAAATGGCAAACAAGAAAAATGCAGATCAAAAGCCCTCATGAATATAGACACATAAATCCTTAATAGAATATTAGCAAATATAATTCAGCAATATATAAAAAGAATTAGACACTATCAGACCAAATGGGATTTATTGCTAGAATGCAAGACTGGTTGAATATAAAAAAAAAATCAACTTAAGCTATAATATTCACAAGTTAAAAAAGAAAAATA